TACTTTAATAATCACGGGCCATCAAGTCAATTCTGAGAATTCTGTTTTCTGGGTTTTTATCCAAAAACGAGATGCTGATGAACCACGCCTCTTTGGCTTCATGGCTGCATCATCCATCCATCCATGGGGTTTGACGGAAGCAGAGGAGGAGGCCTCCTGGAGTATATGAAGGCAGGCACAGCAGTGCTGGCCCCCCAAGCGTCCAGCCAGTCCAAACCTTCCTTTGGTGGTAGAGAAGGCAGGGCTGGCCTTCTCAACCCAGAGAGACTTTAACCTCTGCAGCAGCACTGAGGCAGATGGCAATCCCCCCCCCCCAGCCCAAGGCCAGGCACCGGGGCCCCTTCCAGCTTCCCTCTGGGCAGGAGAAACAGCTTGCGGAGGGCTCTGCTAGACCAGGGTGCCCTCCAAATACCTGAGATCTGGAGTTCCATTAGCCCCAGACAGAATGGTTAAAGGGGATTATGGGCCATGGAGTCCAGGAGGCCTCCCACTGCCTTCCTTCCATCCTCCTTGGGAGAGCAGGGCTTTACTTGCTCAACAGACAACCGCCAGCCACCCTCACGTCTTCCTTACACCTGCGCCATCCGAGGCCTACGTCCCTCCTCACCATTTCTCTTGCCTAAGGAGAAAGCAGCCCTGCCCGACGCTCGCCTGTGGACGTGGCCCGCTCTGCATCCCCTCCATCCCCTCTCCAGCGCCCGAGGTGGCCATGCCTTTTCCTGCCCCACCTGTGGGTGCCACGAAGGCGCCTGGGCCGTTCCCCAGGCAGGGCCAGGCAGGGGTTCTCCTGCGGCGCCCCTCCTCCGACCTTGCCAAAGGGAAAGGGCCACCTCTTGAAACGCCTCAATTCACGGCGGGTCAAGGACCACAGGCACTCGTGGGGAAGCGTAGCTGCGCTGCGCCGTGCCTGCCCTCCCACAACAGCACAGACGTAAGCAATTCCTTCGCCGTCTGTGCCGTGTTTGCTGTACCCTGGTGATGTGTTTTCCAATCAAGAACTTGGTTCTCCTCTGGTTTGGAAAGATCAGCTTAATCCATTTTCATGAGTTACTATGTATTTTCAAAGGGAGAAAGTGAATTTTTAATAGGCTCTGGAGAAAAGCTCACATAGATCAGCTTTAATATTTAAGCATCAAACAGGCATCATTATGGAGCACTGCTCGTAGAGCTGGCTGGTTAAGGGGGAGCTCCTTGCCCACCGCCAGCGCCTTTCCAGACCTGCCTCCCTTGTCTTGTGCTACCTCCTCACAAGACTGGATGCAAAGAGGCAGAAATCCCCACCCCTTCTCCAGGCCCTGGTGGTATTCCTCTTCCCAAGGGAGGAAGCAGACAGACAGCAGTCCAAACGGGAGAGGAAGACGTGATGAGATGTTGTCGTTGAGGAGGCCCACGGAACTGCTGGCTCCAGCCCAGGAATATCACAAGCTTCTTCAGCTGGCCTCGGATTGAATACCCCGAGGGCACCCCTGCTGTTCTCCAATGCAAAGGAGCCTTGAAAGAAGGGGCAGCGTTAAAAATGGGGACGAGCCACCAGGAGGCGAGAGTCCAACTCATCCCTCCCACAGCCAACACACCACTGTCGCAAACACACGGTGTCCATCTGTGCTCCCCAAAGGTCTGAGTGGGAAAGCCGCTGAGGGCATGAGCTTTTCAAACGGCATTTGAGCCAGACTCACCAGCCGGCTCTTGCTAGCTCTCTACTCTCAGCTACCTTAAGACAGTAACAGCGGCCTATCTTGAAGTGCTCCAGGAACAATTCCTGGAAATGTATTGTGCATGTAAGGCACCCTGCATACCTGAATGCGCCATTTAAGTGCTATAAAATGGAAGCCATAATGAAAGAAAGTATGTCTTGTGCAGAAACGGGCACTATTTCATCCATCTTCAAGGGTTTCAACACATTCACTTATCACAAGAATCAGAGGATCTGTACACTGATGCTGATTTTTTTAAAGGGTTGCATCCTAGCACGGTGGAGTGACAGAACTGGTGGCAAATCCTTGAGTCTTCTTACCAAGGCTCCAGAAGTCGTCCTGGGCTCCTCCTGATGACAAGACTACCACCCGCAGAGAGTCGTACCAATGCCGCCTTCTGCTTTCAAGACCTCTTGATTGATACCACCAAGGCATCCCCTCGGCTGCTCTCCCTGCCGTTCCACTCCAGCTGGCCCCTAGGGAAAAGTGGGCTGGGCACTATCCTGCAAGGTTACCTGCAGATTTTAGTTCCAGGCAGCCCAGAACTGTGCACCCTAAAAGGCCCCCTACTCTGTCAAACGGCAGAAGTGGACTTGATAGAGAGAGAAGGAAAGAAAGAGAGTGCGCTGAGAGAGCCTGTCACCACCATCAGCAAGAATCCTGACTCTTTCCCTTAGAGGTCAGGCAGCCTAGCTTTTCTTGTAAACATCTGTCTGTTCTTTTAAGTATTGCACATTTTTTGAAAAATCCACACGTCAGCACATGACTCTAAACAGCTCCCAGAAAAATCAAAATAGATGCATTCTGAGGCCACAAAGATTCCTGCTCGTTTGAGCAGAACTTGCCAGCATGACAGAAAGATTAAGCTTTATCATAACAACAGCAAAAATATTGATTGGCAGTTGACTTCCAAAAATCAAATTTAAAAAGAACTTGGGGAAGGGGGTGGCTGGAGAGATTTCAATGATCTAACAGCAACGCTAGACGTATTACTGTGTCTTTACATACATCATCATTAAATCAAATTTGCCTGCACAAGAGAATGTATGTTATTTCTCTGGCCTATTGCATTGTGGCGCAGTGGTTAAACTACAGTACTGCAGCCAAAACTCTACTCACAACTAGAGATGGGGGTATTCATATACGAATATCCCCACACAGGTAGAAATAACTGTCCACTCATGATTTCGCCGCTGCTGCCAGCTCTGCGGAGGCTTCCTATCATGCCATTGTCCACAATCGATTCCCCGCTCCTGGCAGGAGGCGGGATGACAAGCCTCTCTGCCAGGTTGCAGAGTGGGTTATTTTAACTCATTATTTCCACCTGTGCAGGGATATTTGTATTCGTATACAACAACAACGAATACCCCCATCTCTACTCACAACCTAGGTTCAATCTCAGATAGCCAGGCAGAGGTTCATTCAGCCTTCCAAGATCAGTAGAGTACCTAGATTGTGGGATGCGTGTGTCCAATGTGTAGCCTGCATAAATTTTAAACTGCCCATGGCAGGGCCAGGGGTAGCATTCCAGTCAGACTATTTAAAATCTTAAAAGATGACGCTGTTAAGGTTCTACACTCAATAGGCCAGCAAGTTTGGAAAACTCAGAAGTGGCTAGAGGATTGGAAAAGATCAGTCTACATCCCAATCCCAAAGAAAGGCAGTGCCAAAGAATGCTCCAACTACCGTACAATTGCACTCATTTCACACACTAGCGGGAGATCTGCGCATGCGTCGACGAAGCTAGACGCCTTTACATCGCCCTCCAGGAAACTTACAGATAAAACTATAATACAACCAAACAATTGAAAGATAAGCCTGAAGGAACTTTTGAGGAGGTTCCGGAAACTCAGCTACAAACTTTCCCTTGACTTGGTGAGTTTTTCCTTGCTAATTACAAGCAATAATACTCTCCGTGAAAACAACAAAACAACATAACAAGCATAATGGCGACAAAACGTGAAGTTAAAGAACTGTCGGAGTTGATAACTAATATGGAGAAAAATATTAGACAAGACCTAAAAGCGCTTCAATCTAAGTTTGGGCAATTAGTGGAAGAGGTTAAAACAGCAAGGTCAGCTGCAGATAATGCTGTGAAAAAAAGCGAAAACAACGAGAAAGAAATACAGCAATTAAAAAAAAGGCTGGCTATATTATCAGACCGCCAAAGGCGAAGGAATTTAAGACTTTCAGGAGTAACAGAAGACATTGCTGCAGGAGACCTTGGGAAGACTGTAATTGCTTTTTTTCAGGAACATGGCATAAATATAACAGATGAGGACATTGAACGCACTCACCGATCTCTGAAACCGAAACCAAAGCCTGGAGCCAGGCCTAGAGACATTATAATAGCTTTTTCAAGAGAGAAAACGCAGAACTATGTTTGGAACAAACTCAGGAAAATTAAAGACTTACAACTTCAGGGACAGAAGATATTTCCTCGCCCTGACTTATCACCAGAAACCATGAATGAAAGAAGACTTATGAAACCCTTTGCACAGAAGTTGCATGAGAATGGTGTTTTATTTTCCTGGGGTTATCCAGCCAATATTTTAATTTTTAAAGATGGAAAACTCTTGAAAGCTAGCAACCCAGCAGAGGCGGAGAAGTTACTATACAGACTTAACATACAACGTACTACTCAGCAGGCCGAAGAAGAGAAGGAGGGAGGAGAAGAAGAAGAAGAAGAAGATTGAGGGAATTTATATGTGACTGTAAATATGAATAAGCTTCCTTCAGGAATGTAAAATTTATACCA